CTTGTCAGAGGGACTGAAAGTACTTCATTATAGTCAAGATAGACCAAGGAAGGGGCAGAAATCCAAAAAAAGTCTGGCTCTAATGTCATGAGTCCCTTTTTATATCCCTACAGGAAATAGAAATTGAAATCAATTCAAGGGGAGGCAGTAAATCCAGCTGGACCCAATCCACCAAAACCACTGCTGCAATGCTGGTCCAAACCTGGCCAGGACTGGATGTAAAGGGACAGCAATAATATTTTTTGTAAAAACATCTCCGGTGTATGTCCTTTGAGTATGTCGTCTGTTTGACAACTGGAAATGTCGTCTTTATCTGCTGTGAGTCCAAAGGAAATGTAAAACACTGGGTCTGTAGACCAGCAATATATAAAGATTAATGACATGTATTGAATTCTCACCATGAACATGTTCAACCAATCAGCTACTGACCCTACTCTCTTTAAACACATGACCATATGTGCTAAAAAATGTACAAATCCAGACAATTTTAAAGGACCAAAAATAGCTAAAAAAAAAGAACTGTAATAGCACTTTAATGTTGTTGATGTTTTACTTCACTGTTTATTGTACCGCCTAACACATTTCAGAAAAGAGTTCAGATTTGTTGACTTGCTGCTGTTCAGACATGTTGTATTTAAAGAGAATTTTCCTTCCTCCTAAAAATAATAAATATGATTTCTTCCATTGAATCTGTGACAACAATACACACCTGAAAGGTGGCCCACAGCACAATACAAGTGTGATCCCTCACCTGCTCTGGTTGTTCAGCATCTTCCAACTGTCTCCCCCTGGTGTCACCCCCTCCCACCCCCCATCCCACCCCCACTTGCTTGTCTTTTCTTATCTCTCTTCCTTCACACTTTTTAGTTCCTCCCGCCCCATCTGTCATCTCCCAGCTGGATCAGTTTTACGCTGCACTGCAGTCCTCCCAGTGAGGATCCAGGCTGCATGAGTCACCCACTCACAATCTGCTGCCCTAAAGCTCTTTAGCCCCATCCAAACACCCCACTGCTGTCCATGGGCACGCATGAGCCCACCGTGATCCACGCTCACATGAATCCCAGGCCACGACGCAGTAATTATGGAAAAACTTAAATTCACGCACGACATCCGGTTTACTCCACAGACTAGTTTAAAATTCAATCAGGACAAGACACCAAGGGCTCACATTAGTATTCAGTAGACACAATGAAATAAAAACATGTCACAACAAAGTCGGCCAGAGAATGAGGAATGACTGCTCAACGATCCACCGGTGGAAAAACGCTGCCAAGATTTGATTTCTGCTTTAACTTCTACCACACTTTCAGACAGAGCTGGTGTTCTTTAACGTTCCAGCTCCTTAAAGACAGATTTTCTGTATCACACTTAAATACGTTTTACAGCTACAACACATGCATAATATCACTGCCCACATTTCACCATGGTAACCAATTAAGGAATATTCCATTGAGTCCTGTTCTGGGGAGTTTAAATAACAATTATTTGTCATTTTCTGTTGCAACAAGAACAGAAAACTTTCCAATAAAAATTGTTTTTTTGTAAGAAGTCTTTATTGGTTAGAGTAATTATTTTTTTTAAAAGATACGATCACCATCTTCTACATAGAACCATCTTCTACGTTTAGAAATAGTCATATTTTATAGTGTAGATGACTTGGCTGAAGTTAGGGTCACCATCACCGACCATAAGGTTACCTTATTGTTTTGCATTTGTTAATGACAGTTGTCTTGTATGCACATTTTTAATTGCTGTTGACACATAATGAACACAAAATCTCCCATAATAATTCAACTAAATCAACTGTATCTGTTTTAAGAAAACACATTTCTGGAGGATAAATCCTACGAGAGCCGATTGATTCACACTTTAATGTAGACTTTCCAGGGCAAATTTCAGCTTATCTCCTCTCTGCAGGAGGTTCTATTTTAAGAACACATTCCTGGCTCCACTGCATCACAGTTAAGTTACAGTTAAAAAAAAGGTATTTTTTAGCACAGAAATAAGAAAAAAAAATACAGGCAGCTCAGCATGAATCCTTCGCTCAAATACTACACACTGTGACATCACTTTTGTCTGTGGATATAAATCTGATCGTCCTGGTAATGTGATGAGAACCCGACACGTTTTCCAACAGCGCTGTAGACTTCAAATTAAACCCATTACTCCAAGTTAGTATATTTAATTACTGCATTAAGTGGTGTTTAATTATGTATAAGTTAATCAGCAGCTGATATCAAATAGAAGCTAATGGAGACTTACAGGAAAGAACTTGTGTTTTTCTTATTTAAAACGGCAACTGTTATTAATGCACCACTCAAGTCTGAGCACGGATGTCCTTTGAGGTAGAGAGAGAGGAAGGGAGAGGGAGAGAGAGAGAGAGTGGTGCTTGAAGGCTAAATAAATTACTCAGTGACGAATGTGAGAAGGTGAATCTGAGGTCTAGTGTGGGTTTGAGGATCTCTTCAGCCCTGTGCCTTTTAATCTGAGATTTTTCTCATAAGACCCAATAAAGTCTTCAACAACAACATGCTGTGAGCCTTCACGCTCAGGAATGATGACGGCGGTAAACGTCAAAGAGTTGCAGGTAATTCTGAAAAATCGGGACAATAAAATGTCTATAGGATCAAAAGGACATTTAAGAGCCACAGAAACATCCAGCCATGAAACCAGTCAATAAAAATGTCATTAATAAAGACTGACATACAATAAAGTGAGCTCACAACGAGGGAAAAGCAAGTGCTCACAGTTTATCGTAGCATGCAGAACCTTAGAATAATAAAAAAAAGGTTTCTAAAAATAACCAAGGATGAATTCCCTCTCAATCTCCTAATGAATGCATGGCTTACAACTGCAGCTGTAATTTCATGCAGGCAGCCCTCCTCCTGCTGCAACAATTCGTGACACAGAGGAAAGAGCTGACTTGCATGAAGAAGCCGTCATCAGTGCAGACAAATCTGTCTTTTTAAATCCCTGATTCCAACCCCTAATCTCCTGATGTCTCTTCCTACACTCCTGGTGGGAACTCCTACCAAACAGACAGCTGACAGAGCCTACGACTGTCCTGACAGCACTGGGAGAAATGACAGTAGGGTGTAAGAGTACAAACACAGACACGATGACACTGACACGTTTAAAATGACAGAGCAGCGAATTCAGGACAAAAGGACGGTTGACTAATGGGAGACACGAGACTCATCGAGGAGAAGGAACACAGTCTGTGTCGCCCAGGGAGAGCGGCTGTCAGCTTCTATTCTGCTCCAAAGAGCTCTGGGACAACAGTGACACGTCCTTTGACAACCATGTGACAACGCTGCTATAACGTATATATGAAGAATGTTTGTGAGTTTGATTTTCAGTTTGTAAATTCTGATCCTTTGGGAAAACTAACAATGTCAGAATTTATCAGAATCAATGCAGTGCTGTAGAGCAGCCATACTGTATTGCGAAACGAAATATCACAATATTTCAGTGTATTGATAATTTCTTAGATCCAAAGTAAAAATATTTGGACCCAGGTTGGGGTCAGCACTTTTTCTAGGTTAGCCTAGATGAGCTGAAAAGCTCAAATATGATGAATTATTGTTTATACCTGACATGTTATGGTGGATTTAAATGCATTTATACTCAAAATAGTAGTTTATTTTAAAAATATGTATTAATAAAATCCAAATATCAGGGCTCCAGTGTTCGAGCACCCTTAACAGGCCAGCCGCCGATGGTTGGTGTGTATGAAACTGATCAAAAATAAGTAAAAGCACTGATATAATGCCTTTTATGTAATGTTGTCATCACTGACTTAATAACTGATTAATAAATAAAAAAATAAGTCAAAATGTAGCAGCATTCCACTGTTGACAGTGACTATTTCCAGTTTTTAGCTAGCTGCACACTGAAATAGTTGGTAGCAAAACAGCTCTCCTGGAGGCATCCATCTTGTTTGCTTAGCTCATCTCATTCCTGTTGTAAACTTGATAAACAATAGAAGATTCCACCAGGTTCCACTGGCCCTGAGTGGCTTGTTTGAGGAGTGAAGCTAATTATGACCATCACCCTCTGGTAAAGACCACAAAGCTGTCAGATGAGACCGTAAATATAAGCCAGTCAAAGCCTTAGGAGTTAGTACTGAGCTGTGCTGCAGGGACAGATCTGTCCACGCAATTAACCCTGAATGTTCCATTTGAGAACAGTGATGGAGCTGTGATTGGCTCCAGACTTAATGATGGTTAAAATGCCATGAAGTGAGACGAGTGAGGGAGAAGGGGTTTGAAGCCAAAAGAGCCTTGGTTCGAACACATTCACGAGCACTGGACTGAAAACAACAGATGATTCAGCAGTGGAATCAATAGAGGATAAATGCGTTTAGAGGGCGCCGAGGTCATGGCGTGCTGACGGTGGGGGAGGCGGATTTCCGCTGCCAAAACGCACTTAGCGATTGCATAACGTTGTGTAACTCGGGATTTCCCAGTGTGGTCGCCAGAAACCGACGCTCGGTTCACCGTGGTTCTGATCAGGCCTGTAGAGAATGTGTTTGCTAACGGGAGCGGCTGCATCTCTGCTGCTTCCCCCTGTACGGAATGTCATCTGAAGGGTACAGACGCCTCAGGTGTGACGGCCATCAGCAGCGTCACGGCGTTCGATCATCTCTATCACACACACACGGGAAACCGACACTGACTTATTGGTTAAGGGGTTGGTTGAGTGTTCTATAAATGGAGGACGCAGCTGGAGCAGTGAACTAGTCCACTGCTGCAGTGCTGCATCACAGCCCTCCACACCGTGGAGCTCATTACAACAGCGGCAGAATCCGAGTCTAATCTCATCAGATTAGAGGTGGCACCGTGTTAAAGACATGGAGGCGTCAGGAGGAGTGGGAGAAAAACATAACAAGTAAAAAAAATAAAACACGTTTCATACACACGAAAACACTCTCCACTGCCACACATGAACGGTAAGGTATGGGTGAACCTGCTCTACAGAACGTCGCCGACTCCTCTTACCTGAGTGGCTTTGTGGAATTGCTTCTTCAGCCCCGCTACAGACATGGTTGCTGGACGGTGGCTTTGGTGGGATTATAAATGACAAGAATGCGGAGGCTAAATCTCTGCGCTAATTTTATCAGGTGATGCTGCAGCAGTCGTGACTGTAGTCCGGCTCTACGATGCTCTTCTCCAAAGGGATCTCCTGTGAGAAAGGGGGGGCTGATCATAGTCCTGGACACACCATTGGATGACATGCCCACACGTCTACGACGGTGCTGACGTCGAAATCAGCACGTTTAAAGCGACCGCCTCCGCACTACAACTGGACTCGGTACTGGGGACTTGGTACTCTAATCTGAGCTGGTGTAGTGGTGAGGCAGGAGGGGGGACACGGGGGAGGACTATCTAGGGATGAGATGTAGCTACAGGAGGTAAATCCAGTAAGAGGTCGTGGCTGAAGAAAATATTCACAAACGAACGACCGAACGAACCAGAGCCGTGTTTAATACCGTAGGTTTCTGCCTTTGTCGAGCGTCCACTGTAAATCAGCACCATGGACAACGCCCAGCAGCCGGCGCTCAAACAGATGAAAATGATAGAAACGAATCTGAATCTACAGTTCAGTTCTACAGTTTAAAAATAAATTATATATAGCACGGTTTCGTGTAATACACAAGTATAACCAGTTATATATTTATATATACATGTAGCACAAAGTGCTGTAAAACGGTTTAAAGACTCAACGACCTCCCTCCCCCACATAAACACACACCCAATAACCAAAGCTCACTCAAACTTCCAAATAATTGCAAACTAAAAAAAATTATTTGCCCAAATGGGAAATCTCCTTATGAATTGGAATAAAAAATATTTCAAACATCAAACTAAAAGTTCATTATTCCATATCATCAGCAAATCAAAGGATTATTTTCCACTGTTTTCTCCAGAAATCCCACTAGTACAAAACAAATCTCTTCTTTTTCTACATCCCTGATATTCTTGGTCTAATATATACACTTCTGTTTCCCATCATATTTCTGAACATCTCAATCTGATTCTCTAACGTTTCTTTACCATCCCCTGTATTGTGAGAGACAGTGGCTGTCCTCCTCAGCTTTTCAATCTTGCTGTCATTCTATCACATGTTATTTCTGATATACTGTCCTCTGACCTGTCCATTCAGTCCATATTCACATAATAATCAACACACTTTCTATTCACAGAAATAACTGTGGTATATTTGAAGCATAAAGGAATGTAATTTACAGCCTTTTGCTGACACTGTGGTTCTCCTGGTTTGAGTGACCTTTGACATCTACTGCAGCGGTTAGCATTTAAGTGTGGATGGGGTGCGATATTTTCGAGATTTACATAATTCCTTTTTTGGGCAACATTTGTACAGGAATTCTGTCTGTTTACATTGTTTTTTTAAGATCAATAAGTATCTTTGTCTCGTGTAATATTTTGACATTACAGAATGTACCTTTACTGAACTCAACCCTCCCTGCTGTCTCCACACAGTAACTGTAACTCTACAGCTGTGGACAGTTCTGGTGAAACGGAGTGAACAGAACAGAACAACTCTGTAGTCACTGCCTTCGAGATATGTATTTTAAACAATTAAACTAAAGATAATATAATATAAATACCATATTTCAAACATTTGAACGCGTTTTAATACAGTGGATATTTATATAAACAATAAAATAAATTATCAAATGTCTGAGCGTGTGTTTTTGCACACGTAACACACTGTAGGTTAGACTCATTTACCTACCGCTTAGTCCTTGTCAGGGTCGCAGTCGGTGGAGCCAGTCCCAGCAGGCACTTGGTTTGGGGGGCGGGGTACATAGGAACTGGACAGTTTTCACTCCATCGTCCAACCAGCCTACAAAACACAAAGGTTAGTGGCGCCATCATCTGTTGATTTCTGGAACACACATTCATACCGCAGGATTTCTTTTATTATATTATTTCCAATGGTCGTGGCGCCATCTCCTGACAACTTTTCAAACCTTCACAGTGTCAGCAGTAAATAAAAATCAAATATTCTACAGATTCAAATTTCTAGAAAATATAGTGATTTATTTTTAATAATTTTATAAACATATAATATAGAAATATTTTAATAATTATAAAATGTAATGCATAATAGTATATCGGACATCCCTGATTTCAGAAGAGCTTGAAGACAATTTCTACGACCAAAGATATATTATTAGGAATAAAACAGTATCAAAAACGACTCAAGTTTTCATGGAAGAGGGAAAAAACCAAAATAAAATGGTGCAGTTTGTAGAGCTCACTAGTCCACAGCCAAGCAAATGAAATGTTTTGCTGTCATCTAGTGGCCATATGTAATACAGCCGCTGATATTTTATAAATCAAATCATTATTTAGATAGTATAGAGACAGCGGTAAAACGTGTATTTATCTGTTCATATTATAAGTCCGTGATATTTTGCCGCTGATCAAACACGTTGGTCTACTGAGTGCTCATGTTAAATGGTCTCAACTGCACAGTTGAACGGTCATTTGTCACATATTTGCAAGTCGTGTGACAGAAAACCAAAAAAAGGTCAACAGAGAGGAGCAGGTTCATGTGTTTGTCTTTTCTAAGGCCTACCATCCCCACTTCATTCTCCTCCACTTAAACATGCTAATGTACCTGTGCTCTGCTCTAATTGGTCCCAGTGATGCTCGCCCTGCTCCACCTGTGTTCATGGGAAGCCTCCATTCAGTCCTGCAGTCAGGGCCCCTGCCAATGTGCAGCGTTAATAATATGCAAACAAACATTTCTTTGTTGTTGGGCACTTCTTACACCGACCACCAAAGTGAAAGGAAGAAAGGGAGAAATTAAGTAAAGGGAACAGTAGAAAAAAAGAGGGCTGGGAGAGTGGGGGTGCATGAATTAATTAGTATGATTACCTGAGGTGTAATACTTTATAGGGGGTAATCTGCCAGCCCACTTCTTACCCTCCAAACTTTAGCCAGCCTGCTAATGAACGCCATAAAAAGTTCGTCAAGGTGGAGAGGTGCTTTGAGGGGCCGTACACCACAGACTACGGTGTGATTATAAATGCTGGTGCGGAAAACAAAACATTTCTGCCCGTTTTATAGCAGCATGTAGCGCGGATGTACGAGGGTTGTTTGTTTGATGATAAATGCAAAGAACATCATCGTACGTTGTCAAGCATTTCTACTAACGAGAGGCAAAGAGGAAAAAGACAGTCTGACACACTGTCTTTAGGATATCAGTTTGAGAAGACGACACACAGATTAGATCCGGTCGCCCCTTGTTCCTGAGGTGATGTTGAGGACTGCAGTATCCCTCACACCCCGTAAGAAGAGTGGATTAGAGGCCAGATCAATCCTGCTCTCATTCTCCTTTTGTCTCGTTTCTTCTCGGCGTGAGCTCAGGCCACGGCTTTAGAGAGACGGCTTCCATGAGCAAAGCTTTGAACAGTCCACGGAGACGCGGGGGGCGTCAAAGAAAAACAGAAGTGCAGGACAAGACAAAGGTGGGAAGAGAAAAACCATACCAAAAGGTACACAAAATAATGAATCTATCGACACAAACATGGTGACAATACGGGGGTGAAAATCTGAGAGTGCCTTCAGTGGGATACAGATAACTCTTTTACTCTGGGCCTCTGTTTTATCACAAGGCATCAAAACATAGCTTTGGTCCCCTGAGAGGTTGGCCTTTTTATCTGCTCCCTAGCTTCCCACGGCAGGCCACATCCACCTATAATCTGCTGCCGTTTCATGTGTGAAGCACTGAGGAGGATAAGGGACCTGTTCAAGTGAAGATCAATGAGGTTGTGTACATCGCACATGAGCATCAAGAGGGAGAGATTCCATCATCTGATCTAATGAAGACCTAGACCTGAAGCTGTCATTTAAGATCGAAGTGATTCCTGACGAAAGGTCAAGTTAAGACTCCGGATGAATGTGTGACAAGTGTGATGAGATGGTGTTAGATGTCTGCAAGTGGTGTCGCTAAGAATGAGAGGTCACATGATCTGATCCACAGTCCTGTTTACTGGAAATGTCGACCATGAGCCGAGCATTGTCATTTTAAAAGGTGTCAAAATGATCATGAGCCAAACGCATCATACACCAATAATAATACTTAAAAAAAAGCAGAGACAAATTCAAAAACTCACCTCTGACAGTGGTTTCGATCAGTGACTTTCAAAACTTTTCTCTCACTCTTTAGAGTTCTCTTCCTTCTTCAGCCAGTCTGAGTTTCTTTGAAAAGAAATAAGTACAATGAAAAACAGACAGCAGTATTTGTTCTGATAAATGCATAGTCACATACAGTACCTTCTGTGCTCCATTAGCGATGATGGAGATTACTTTTAATGACTCTACAGGCTTTTAAAAAAATAAAATCCTAGAGCCTCAAACATTTTTGCTTAATACATTTAACCATATGTGAAAGACCAAGAGATTTTTTTTTCTTTCTAGTAATGTCTGACATTAACCTCTTGCCAATATCTGATTTCCAATTTCGACATCAACCATCACTGATATATGCAGCTGTTTGATATTAGACAATTATGCTAACACCCTTAATTATTTCAGCCAAAACTGTCACAAAAAAGAAGAAAAGTAACACAAAACAGTGACATAAAAGTCTTCTAACATGTGACCTTGTTTTTAGTCCACCATTCCAGCCCAATAGAACAAACGTTTGACAAAATAAAACACAAAACCTTTGGAAATGAACAATAAAATCAAAAATCCTTGACAGAGCTGAAGGGAAAAAGTCTCAGTTGAAGTTTTCCTTTTTCTTTGAAAGTGACGTTTACATAAAAAGGAGGAACCAAAATGACACCCAGTTGATTGTGTTGGAATGAAAGAGAGAGAAAGGGAGGGAGAGAGGGAGAGAGAGAGAGAGAGAAAGAGGAAGAAACTCTGAATTTGCTGATCAAAGACATTCCCAGAGGAAACCTCTTTAATGAGAACTTTACAAGAGAAGACGAGAAGAGGGGATATGGCACACCATTCCTAAACAGGGAAAACTAAATCATACGTGTGTGTGTTCCTAAACAGGGAAAACTAAATCATACATGTGTGTGTGTGTGTATGTGCGCACGTGAGCGCATGATGGGGTGAATGTTTGAAGGATATTTTCAAGATCGTTTTAATGTCTTCACTGAGGGAGCGTCAAAGCCAAGGCCAGGTTAATTAAATCACAGGGGTCTGCATTTGAATATGTCATAGAAAAGCATGAGTGTGTCAGACCAGGGCGGATGGTGGAGCAAACATGTTGACTATGCATTACACACTTACACGGAGACATTTTCAGACAGCAGCGGGCAGCAGAATTTTGAAGTATTTCTTTCTCGCTGCAACTAAAGGTTTCTTAAATTTATTTACGTTTATCTTTTGCAGCTCAACGCTGCAGGATAGTGACAAGAATGGAGAGGGAAAAAAAAGCAGACATTTATATGGGACAAATATTGACAATCGCTGACTCCTGGGTATTGGAGAAGAAAAGATGCAAACTATGTTAATGAATGGTAATTAACCACCAGGGTTCGTCTCTCCTGGATTCCGGCTAAATTGGTCCCCGAGTTGCAGCCGGAGACAGTGCTGGCCTAATCCTTTATTATAAAAAGATAAAGGAAAACGACATCATTAGCATATATTCCAGTCGGAAGGGTGGATTAAAAAGTGGAATTATTTCTTTTCAATTTTTGAATGGAGTCTTCAAACCGCAGTTAATGATACACAATAACAGAAGAAAGGAGGTAAATAGGAAAAAAAAAGATGGAAGAGGTAAAGAAAGGAGCGGATATGAAGGGGAGGAGTCTGACGTCTCCTGTGTGGGAAGCCAACTCAAGGACAGAGGAGACTGGGACTGCACTTTAATATTCAAAACGAATAATCAGAGAGGTTGAAAAGGGAAACAGATAAAAGGCATTGGAGGTGGAGGTGCCAAGGATGGAGGTGCTCTTCTAGTACACCTTCGGTACGTGGACCCTTGCTAATGATGTCAACAGCAGGGGTCACTTGTTACAGACAGGACCCAGGCCCACTATCAGCTGTCAATAAAGCTGTAAAAGGCCTGCTGTCCATCCACACACTGACTGACAGTGTTGGAGGAACCACAACATGCCTTCACCCAGTGGTTCACAACCTGTTTTGGCTTGTGACCCATTTTGACATCACAAATACCTGGCGACCACAGAGACATTTGGATTAGTGGAAGTAGTTTTTTGATCATTAGGATTTGAAGTAGATTTCACTTGTTCAGTCTCATGATCTCAGCCGTCAATGATATTTTTATGTACTGCATTTTATTTGAACTTGTTTTATATTTATGAAAGAGAAAGAATATGTTGTTTAAGATTGCGTTTAGTGTTTTTCATCAAATATTTATAATAATTAGATAAAAAAATTCAATTTTTTTCTTTTTTTTATTATCAATTACTAGACATTTAAGGTGGCCCGATTTGAATCCCAGGTGAAAAAAAACTGGTTTAATGTAAAAACATTTTAATGTAAAAACAAAATGTGTGGAAATCGAGTATTAAATTATCAACAACAAACATCTTTTAAAGGCGACTTTAAAAAGTTCTTTGGTGATTTTTATTTACATCAGAAATAAATACCCAGGTCCAATTATTGATGAAGTTCTCAGGGAGCAGAGACTCAGGACTAATTACAGTATTAGATCTTGCAGTAAATACTTTGCACTGGACTCTCTCAAAGTGTTAACTTAGCATTGCTGGTTCTTTTCCCTGAACTTACAAATACTTAATTTGCTAGATAAATTTGGGGAAACGAGAGTAAAAATGTCGACCATAAACATTACTGTAAGCATTCGCCTCCTCACCTCGGGTCTGTGCTCCCAGTGAGGGAGAGTGGCTGCATTTCAAATTAGTCCGGCCCAGTCTGACAGACAATGCACTGAGGACCAGTGCAGATGTCAGGGCCTCACTTACAGAAGCCAGGCTGCTGTGCTGCTATAGTGGCTCGGAGTGAGTCCAGAGAACTTTCCTCACAAACATCGGTTCTGTTGCCCCGGGTCAGCTTAGCTCGGCCCACTGCTTAAGAACTTAGTAAAGAAGAGAGGAAGGAAGGAGGGAGGGAGGGAAGGAGGAAGGAAGGAGGGAGGGAGAAAAGACAAAGATGACCGTTTTCCCAGCCTCAGCCCAGGGAGTCACGCTTTTTCGCTGACTGGTGTTGTGAGCATGGCCAGCTCTTCTGTCAGCACTTTCCTCTCCTTCATCTTCACATGCACCGTCTCCATTAGCTGGCTGGCAGAGGGGATCTGCAGGGGGAGCAGGGAGACATGCGATAGGGAGGGGGAGGAAAAGTGAGTGGAACAAAGTACAATTTGTACACAAAAACACATTTACAAATATATATTTTTTAAAACATAATCCTTAATAAATCACAACTTTATTTTGTATTTGACTGATTTACCAATATGAGCCATATTTGTCAGGGTAAAGGTCAAGGTGAAGTTCACCTAGCTGTTTTGGTTGAAGGTAACCTATTGTTAGGTCAACAATTGGTTAGGTTTCTGTTTCACTGTTCTCTTTATAACTTTTGTAACATCCTTTTCTATTTTTTGTGTAATGAAACACTCGGTCAATTCCATATCCAATATAGTCCCAAGAGAAGCATCAGGATTCCTAATACACTGAAGGTGCAGCATTAGTTTACATCTGGGATTTCTTTTTCTTCTTCTGGTATTTTAAATTCATATATTAAAAAGACACAGGGACAAGCTTTTGTTCAATTCTACTTCATACTGTGTTACAACTGGCCCTGCTAATAAGACTCCCTAAAGAGCCACTCAGGATGTAATTATTAACCTATGACCTTTTCTGTCTGCCAAGACAGACAGATGGATGAGATCTTTCCTGATGAAAGCCCTCTTAAATTCTAGCTTTAACACCCATCAAACAACACTCTATGTTGTCTTCACATACTAACACATTAACAACTGTCTTTTTAATTAACTGTTTTATTTAGTCATTTTCATTTTTGAACTTTTACTATTATTACCAGATATGAGACTAATAAAACCGCTCCGGCCCTTTCCCTGGGTTAAGCTAAAACTCTTAAAAGACATCACTGAGGTTAACCAAGGGACTGTCTATAAAGGTTTATTATTCTGTCGATGTATGTCCACTGCAGGACATCCATCCAGACTAAACACTCCACCTGTAAAGAGTGAGTCCTTTACACCAAGATCAGTTTAAAAAGAAAATCACCTTGTGAAGCCATATTTATCATCCCATTTTCTCTATAAATAAAAGAGGGAATGGTTTGATGACATCACCAAAGGTAGATAAGGAAATGAAACATAGGTGGCAGTAACACAACAACATGCTTACTGCCGTAAACGCTGTAATAAAAAGATGAAAAGATTACATCATTCACCAACAGGATTGAAAAGAGTTGAATGTAATCTGTGTAGAATCCAAAAACGGTCTCTGTTTCTTAATAGTGTGCAGGCAGGGGTGAAAATAAAGAGGAGGGTAGGTGTCTCCGCAGATTTCTTTCTTTCTTCCTTTTTTTTTTTTACTATGAAACAACACAAGGATTTTATGGTCATTAGGCGTCTGATCAAAGGATTCACACCAATCATCACCTATAAATATTCGCTCCAGGTTAGGTTCGTTCTTTTTAGACACAAACAAATAAATCCTTGAGCAATACAAAAAAAAAAACACACACAAAAAAAAACAAAACAGGCCGACTTACCTCCAAATGAGGTGACAGATTTGACTGTATATTAACAAAAATAATGATTTGTAGTATATTGTGTAGTAGTCGTATATTGGGAAAATTAAAAAAATGTACTCGTACTTTGTACCAGAACCAGCTTTTAGCACTGAGTGGTCTCAACATTGACATTTTCTTATTGAGAAATAAATAAATCCTACTTTCAACCTCAGCCTTGGGAATAATGTTTTTACTCAATAGAAAAAGACTGAAGTGTCTTTAATAAATATTGGTTTTAAAGTAATCAGTAACATGACCAAAGGTGGTTGTCAACAGGCAACACGTATGTATGCACACACACACACACAGACACACACAGCACTGCGCTGCCCCCTGACACCTGTCTCGTCTTCATTAAAGCTAACAGGAGCTGGGAACACAGGGTCCCATGTGATGCTAGGTGTACGTGCACACTTGAGCACATGTGGTATACAGTGGGGAGTCCGTTCCAGAAGCACGGGATGCATCAAACACACTGAACTATTCCACGGAGAGCCACTAGATTGAAGTTTCTGCTGAGATATTTCCCTTTGCCTCGGTCCTTTAGGAAACACTCTGGTTTTCGGTCTAGTTCTTTTTTTTCCATCAGCGCACAATCTTGTTTTTTGATCCACTGATTTCACTTGGAGAAACTTACTATGTAAACTATAGCCTCAATGATGACTGGATGGTCTAAGCTGTTCAGAACAGATCAAGACCATCACCAAGAATCAGTAGAATCTAGTTCTAGTCAATGTGTGAAATTAGCCTAAAATATAATAAATGTAAGTAAATAATGTGTTTTTCATAGTTCACGTGGGGTCTATGAGATAAAGATAAATAAAAGTTGACTCAAACCATGTACAATATGGAGTCTGTAGTTCTTTCAGTGAGCAAAAGCTAGAACATTTACTTTGAGTTCCTTCTTTCTTTGACATTGGCTTGTCATTGTGGTCCCTGACCTTTATTGTACTAAGGACCAGTTGGCTGGTTCAGGCTTTTGCCTTGGACCGGTAGCACCACACTGATTATTGGGGGATCTTTAAAGAATCATTTATTTTTCAAAGTAAAACATCTTTTAGACTTTATTCTATTAGTATCGGAGTCTGAAGTACCTATAATTTGGGAAAATTTGGAATCATCCTGATTAACCAGTTCACAAAAGGACATCCATCATCATTGGTACAACACGGGGTATTTGAGGGTACACTGAGGTGCAGCTGCTTCACTGGACTCTGTTGCTCAAGGCAGTGATAGAATCTGGCAGTAATGTTATGCTACGGCTGATTTAGTCAGAGCCTCTGTCCCCGCTGGCAGACCTTGCATGCACCAGGGCTACACAACTAGACCACTGTTTTGCAAGAGGCCCCTGTCCCCTTTGGCCATAGTGAAAAAGCTGCTGCAGCAATAAGCCATGCTAACTCGCCTACTTTACTATTCACAGGCCCTGCAGAGCTGACTTTTGTCTAGGTGTGATTCTGTAAACATGTGTCTAAAGAGAAAAAGACATGTGGAGCCACATTACATGACAAGTGTGTGTATAAGCTGCATCCATGTGTGTGTCGGCACACAGGCACACATGCACAGAAAGACAAGGTGTTCTGATGAGCCAATTAAATGACATCGCTATTCTATGGCCTGGGGCGCACCTCAAGGCAAGGAGCAGCTCAAAGTTACAGCACTCCAGTGACCATGTCTGGAAGTGGCATTACAATCTCCACCTGTTTTACTCTTAAAAGCTCCATCATTTTAACTCTTTTGTCTTCTCCCTTGGAAAGGGTTAGGACATGGTCCCAGTTTGTGAGTAGCTGAAAAAACTGTCAGACTGATGCATATTTTTTTAAATGAGTCAGAATGAGGTGGAACCAAGGGGGTCCATTGAGATGTTAAGCAATATACAACAGATTGCAAGATGGGGTGTTTGGTACAAATAGACAAACATGGGGGATTGACAGATAAGTGTTGCCCATGTTTAACATCAACGTTTCAATTATACTTTCCAGTCCCAACAAAGTTTTACTCACGGAATCACGGCTTCCCACAATTTATAAAATGGTGTAATGTTACACATTACCCCGCCGTGTAAGAGGACTGTTGGTGTTCATTGTTTTCCCTGGCTGGCGACTAGTCTTTAACAATAATGTAGGCCACTAAGACAATTCAAGGTAAAGTAGTTACTGTAGTTTCATCACACAGGAAAAGTGTTGATCTTTGATCTTCCCACTTTTGTTTGAAAATCAAATTCATGATACAGGGGAATAACAACAACGAATGATAAATGGGTAAAAAAAAAAAAAAAATATATATATATATATAAAAAATACACAGTGCATTTGATTATCTCCATTAATGAATATGTCACATTTGCAAAAAGGAGCTCAGGTAAGGAAAGCACTGAACTACCGACAAGGCTATTCTCTCTTTTTTCTGGGTAATTACCTACCCCTGCAGAGAAAAGGATCCCTCTCTTTCCTCCCTTTAGGCCACTAGAGACTGATATGAAAGGGAATTGGACACCTGGGGCCACAAATACCGTAATTAAAAACCTTCTATTCTTGATAAGTTGTTTGGAAACATAATTTCACTGCACAATGTGTATTTGTTAGGGATCTGACCTAAATACACCATAGATTAAACACAGGAACGCACCGGGTCTTTGTTTCAGTTTCCTACTCATTAGGTGTGAAAATGAGGTGATTCAGATGCCGCAGGGGTATAAATATAGAAAGGTGATAACCATACAAAAGAGATGCAACCTTTAGGTAGAACTATGCAATCAAGAACACACCCACAACGAAGAGCACGGCTCGCTGGCCGGGCTAATGTACTGAGACGCAGTGACAATCGACTTAAGTGGTGGTGCCTACACAGCAAACTGTCCCACAGAATGAGACGCAGGTGAAATGACTTTCAGGGGTTCGATGAGACACAAAACAGAATATTCCAACTGACTGTTTCCATGAACAAATGTCGATTTTAAAAATTTATTTAGGGTTTATAGAATGACTTAAATAATTATAATAAAAAATGATGTAGAAGTAAATCCCTCTATTATTTTAAAATATTATCAGCAGTGTATGGTGGTGTATTGATATGAAGCTACACTGCCCTCTTCCTTTTCTATTTTCTACTGATGTAGAAGTAAATCCCTCTATTATTATATCTATTATCTATATCTATTATCTAGAGTCTCATTACCATTGATAAAATATAACTTGTATGTTTTTCAAGCTAAATTGAAGTGAAAATATAACTGTTTTTAAAGTTTGCTGCTGTGCTTGGGTTCCCACAATGCTCTAAGATTGCATCATACATCAGTGGACCAATCCTCACTCAGTAATGGTGACTGTACTGTTTTAGATTAGGTTTGCTATTCTGTAGTGGCTCGCCCACAGTTACACTTACTGTTACAAATGCTGAGCTTGGAGTTTTAGTGGCGCGGATTAGGATTAGGTTTGCTATTCTGTAGTGGCTCGCCCACAGTTACACTTACTGTTACAAATGCTGAGCTTGGAGTTTTAGTGGCTCACTGTGAAGTACTGTACGTCCAAACCA